ACACACACACACACACACACACACACACACACACACTTACTCTGCAGGAAGACATCCTGACCGTGATGTTTAACCCTCTTAGCTATATTGGTCTTACACCCTCATTTTATGGAGGGACAGAGACCACAGAGAATAGGGTCTTAACCCATAAAAGCACATGGACTTTCCACCCTGCCAGCCCTCCTAGATAAGCTTTACAGGTCATGCTGTAAAACCCACAAGTGTCCACTGTCCCGTGATGCTTGCTTTTCCAACGTGATTTCATTTTGTCCACAGATTCCTATACTGCCACCCAGAGGTGACCATTTTAATGGAAACAATGCATTAGGCATTCCCATGCAAATGCAACCATGACCTTCATTGCCACCCCATCAATAGTAAAATGACAATAATACAACTGTGTTGGAGTTGGAGGACAAGGGTATCAGACCTGTCTTTGCCAGTAACTAACCATGAGAATGATAATGGGATGTTATTTGGAGTTAATATTTCTGAGTCCTCAGTTTCCCCAGATATGAAACAAAGTTGTTGAACGAAATTTAGCACACTTCAATGTCACACATATTTATCATGCCAGGTCCTTTCTCTGCAAAACCTCAGGGCAAGGGCTCTAAGGAATACAAAGGTGAAGCAGATCAGCTCCTGCCCTCTAGACGTACAGGATCTCATTAGAGGGACCTAATCTACACACAGATTGTGACGCAAGCCATGGCCCGTGTAAAGACAAACCTGGTGCGGTGGCTTCTGATGGACAAATTGGTTTAAGAAGACTTTCTGAAAGTGGTAGAATTTCTGAAGTGGTTTTTCAAGAAATTTTCTCAAATATATACCTTAAAAGCACTTTCTTTTAACATAATTCTAAGTACAGTGCATGATTCTATTTAAGGTCAGGAAAGAAAAGTGCTATAAAAAAATGCTACGGAGGCAATTTCAATTCACTTTACGTTGAGCCAAGAGTACTAAATCCATGTTAAATTTCCTGAGTTTGAAAATTGCACTATGCTTGTGCAACAGGATATCCTGGTTCTTAGAATGTTTGCTAAAGTTTTCTTAGGGGTAAAGGATCATGACATCAGCAAATGTTTCACCAATAATAATAATGGTGGTAAGTATTATATATATGTATATTATACATATATAATATATGTATATTATATATATTATATATATATATAGAGAGAGAGAGAGGGAGAATGGGAGAGTATGATGAAGCAAAATGTTATCTGGTGAATCTAGGCAAAGCATATGTGAGTTTATTATATCAGTGTTGTAACTTTTCTGAAAATTTGAAGTTTTTTCCAAATATAACTTGAAAAATACATTATTTTTGTTGAAAAAAAATATGCCTTCCAAACACCCAGTTTGGCCCGTCTGGTAGAAAGAGATGTCAAACAATGGAAAATGGATTTGTATTGGCAACTGGCTGTGTCAAACCAAACAAACCGCCTGGTGTTCCCATAGGCAGATCCCAAAGCAAGAGCTCACATTCAGCTTGGGTGGCCTCTTGGTTTCTTAATATTATGTCTCTGCTTCTACCACTTCTGCTTGCCAATAAAGTTAGCATTTCACACAGAGACTGTGTGGGAACAGGGCCAAGAAAATGGGACACTCTAATTTAAATAAACTTAGATCCAGGAAGAGAGAGGGGATAATCAGACAAAATCATTTTAGCAGGGGCATCTCATGCATGCTATGGAAGCTTAATGCTAGTGGTCATCATTTTTTTTTTTTTAATTAAAAAAATTTTATTTATATTTGAGAGATAGAGACAGAGTGTCAATGGGACAGGGGCAGAGAGAGAAGGAGACAGAATCTGAAGCAGGCTCCAGGCTCTGAGCTGTGAGCACAGAGCCCGATGCAGGGCTTGAACCCACAAACCCTGAGATCATGACCTGAGCTGAAGTCGCACGCTTAATTGACTGAGCCGCCCAGGCGCCCCTAGTGGGCATAATGTTTTTAAGTGTCCAGAGATACAAAAGTACAGATGGATAGATTTGACTAGTGATGGTAATTTCTTCTGTCATTCCAGAGGCACTTTGGTTTAAACTTTTAAAAATTGACCAGAAGCACTAGTAAATGGGATCTGCCACCATGGCTGGTGATCACAGTTCTGCTATTGTTTCGTGTCTCTTGATAACAGGAATTAGAGTCTGAGAGGGTTAAACTTTTGGAGGATGTGACTTTCAACAAGCGGAAGATGAAGGAACTGGAAGACAACCTTCTCTACAAATTAAGCGCCACAAAAGGTACTGATTTATTAACAAGTCACCAAACAGTGGGTTCTGAACAAGGATTTCTGGTGCCCTCTTTTCAGGACCCTCGTGATTGTAGATGTTAGGAAACAGTTGAGTTACCAAGGCAAACACAAGTGAGGCAATTTCCATCTAGACATTTGAAGAGGGACCTCAGAGAATCTGATTTTTGAATTAGCCTGAGCATTTGAGAATAACACAGTTTTCTTGATATAATTGCTCTCTCCTGAGAAACATAAGGGCTCCCAATAGAGCTAGGTAACTCATAATAGGCTAATTTGCTTGCCCAAAGGAAACTAATGTGCTCAATCTGATTTTTTTTTTTTTAAGATCGACTCTTTCATTTGGCATTGAAATGCAGTTACCACAGCGGGTTATGAGGTGTGTAATCTGTGTCAGAGGCACTTGGGCACCCAAGGCCCAAGCTCACTCTCAAGTTGCCTTGACCATCTACTTAGAAGTCAGGGATGGGTTCTCCCTGGGGCAGTCTGATTTGGGGATGTAGTCTCTCTCAATAAATAAAAATATCCTATCCCAAGACAATAAAGTCAGCAAACACCATATTGTTCTGCAGTAGGTAAGTTACAGTAGCCTAAATCCTGCTATTGATTACAGCCTCATTATAATGAGTGCTTCCCAGCAGTACTTTAATCCTTGGAGATAAACAAAAATCTTAACCTCCAGAAGTACATGATATATCATTCCTGCAGCGGTCTCCAGCACTACCTTTACAGGGACCTCATGGAAAAGACCTTCTATCTGCCTTGATTGCACTGCTTGTGTTCGTGAACTTCTCTGTCCTCTGGTCCAGTGACTTCTCCCAGCCATGTGGCTACCCCTGGGCGTTCTAATATCAGCAGGGAGAGCGGAGGGCTCTTGCCCGGCTCCAGCCGAGTGTGTGCTGGATCAAGGTGTCATCCCTGCGAGGTTGATTGCAATTTGGACTTTCGTGGTAGACCCAGAATGCCCATCGGAGTAACTCACACCTTCCTGAAGCATTCACCTGCCATCCAGAGGTCTAGGGTCAGGCCAGAGCACGCTATTTGCAGATATCGTGACCTTTTAGCTCAGCATGTCCCAAGTATCTTTCCATATCTTAAAGTTGGATTTATTGTCACAGAGACATGGGTGTTTCTATTAAAAATGATCATGAAAGGTGAAACTAAAAATAAAATGAGGATTTTTGTTCCTGGCGGGACACTTCCACTATCCCCCAGTTTCTTCTTGTTGGAGACATGGAGGGACCAGAGTTCTCAGCGGCAATGACTTATCTACTAAAGCTGGACTAAAGAGGGTACCATTCCACTGCAAGCTGGCGTGGAACATGGGATGGGCTCCCGCCATAACTCAAATTGGGTGGACGAGCTCATGACACTTTGAGGGGGACCATGGAGGGGATAATGGAGGGGAAAGCTGTGTCACATAAGGCACGGCTGAAACCGCTGCGGGTACATGGAGCCTGATTTTGGTCTTCAGACACTCGCAGGCCAGTCATGGGGGCTGCCTTGTGAATCACCTTTTGCAGGTGTTCAGGCAGCTTGGGGGACAACCCGTCCCCAGGAATGTTTAGACGGATTTAGGCATCAGAGGACAGTTGGGCTGGAAGCCTCTTGGTGTGTTAGTTAACATCTGCCCTTCTCCCTTGCGGGCTTTGAAGACAGAGACTTGGAAATGGACAGGGCGATTTCGGAAGTGATGCGTCTCCTTTGTGGCTTCCCCCATCTTGCCTTCTACCTTCCCTGTTTGGCTTTTAGGTTCCTTGGTAGACGACGAATCTCTCATCGGTGTCCTCCGAACCACCAAGCAGACAGCATCTGAAGTAAGTGAAAAGCTGCACGTGGCCGCAGAAACGGAGATCAAAATTAACACGGCTCAGGAGGAGTTCCGGCCTGCAGCCACCCGTGGGAGCATCCTCTACTTTCTCATCACAGAGATGAGCATGGTCAACATCATGTACCAGACCTCGCTGGCCCAGTTCTTGAAGTTATTTGACCAGTCCATGGCCAGGTGGGGAGTAACTTAAAATTCCCTCCCTTCCCCCACGCAGGGTCACTTAAAATTTCTGTTTGTGTTCCTACTGTCTTTGGAGTGGCTTTTTACTTCTTTGACTTTTCAAATGCATTGCAGATCTGAGAAGTCTCCACTACCTCAAAAGAGGATTACGAATATCATTGAGTATCTGACGTATGAGGTTTTTACATACTCTGTCAGAGGCCTGTACGAAAACCACAAATTCCTCTTTGTACTCCTGATGACCTTGAAGATCGATCTTCAGAGAGGAACAGTGAAGCACAGAGAGTTTCAGGCTCTCATTAAAGGTGAAGGGCTTGGAATATGGATGCGGTATGTAGAGGAGACTGCTTCTGCTACGCTCTTTGATGTGCTGTAGACCCATTTTTATAGCACAGTGGGGATATTATGTTCCCGTGAAAGCGGAAGTTCTTTATTGACACCTCTTTTGTCTTTTCTGATTTCCATTCATTTTGCTCTGGTTACTCAAGATGATTTATTTCAGGTGTGTGTGAACTCTGTGATTTTTGTTGTTGTTGTTGTTGTTGTTGTTTGTTATATAATTACCTTAAGTTTGATCCTTGCTGCTCGTGATTAAGAAACCTGAATGCCAAAGGGAAGAAAAAGTAAGGCAGGTGTTGAACTTTCTATTGCAAGAGACCAATTACTTGAGCAAGGGATATAGTGATTTCTAAGATTGTGAAAAAGGCACACTTGCACTTCATATTGGAAGTTAATCCTATTCGTCACCTATTTCCATGTTAAAAGTATCATTAAGAAGATAAAAGAATGCTATTTTCATTCAATTCAGTTAAACAAGTGTTTATTGAGCATATCCTATGCAAATCCACCATGCTACTGTTGGGATAGAAGGATAAACCAGACATTGCTTCAAAAGAAATAACAGTCTCATAAGGGGAATATAGGTAATTAAATTTTTTTTTACCAAACAAGTCAGAATAACCTAAATGTTAGAAGAAAGCTAAGGGACACCTGAGTGGCTCAATCGGTTAAGCATCTGACTCTTAACTTCGGCTCAGGTCATGATCTCATGGTTCGTGAGTTTGGGCCCCACCTCAGGCTGTGTGCTGATAGAGCAGAGCCTGCTTGGGATTCTGTCTCCCTCTCTCTCTGCTCCTCCACTGCTTGCTCTCTCTCTCTCTCTCTCTCTCTCAAAATAAATAAAAATAAACTCTGAAAAAAAGAGAGAGCTAAAAACAAAGTGTTAGGTCTAAAAGAAAGGAGAGACATATGGTTGGTGAGGTCAGTAAGAACTCTTTGGAAAATATACTGTTGCAGGTTAAGCCATGAATTTTTCAGATTAGTTGATACATGGGAAAAAATGTACCATTCTATTTCTTATGTTTTTTTTTCTCTTTGTATAAAGTTTAATAAATCATTTTCTGTCTGCCCTTCTCCCCACAAAAAGAAGAAAGTGGCATTTAAAAAGGACTCTGAAGGATAGGTAGAAGTGAAAGATCCATTCCACGCTGAAACAGAACAGCACAAGAAAAGGAATGAATGAGTGGGGCGTGTAAATGGTGAGCCTTGATTGCTAGAGGAAGGATTTTCTTGATCTGGTGAGAAACAAGGAGTTGGGTAAGGTGGTGATGTGGTCCCTCAGGAACCTCTTATCATCTTTTAGAAGATGACTCCAGTAGACATGTATGGGGTTAGAGAAAAGAAGTTCAAGGGAGTTTATTATACTCTTCCCAGCCACAGATACTACATGGTCAGCCCAGGGTGAGGACAATGGGAATATAATGTTTGTTTGTTTGTTTGTTTGTTTGTTTAGAGACAGAGTGTGAGTGGGGGAGGGGTAGAGAGAGAGGGAGGCACAGAATCTGAAGCAGGCTCCAGGCTCTGAGCTGTCAGCACAGAGCCCGACGAGGGGCTAGAACTCACGAACTGCGAGATCATGACCTGAGCGGAAGTAGGATGCTTAACCGACTGAGCCACCCAGGCACCCCAAGACAATGGGAATATAAAGGCAGAAGCACACATGAGAGATCGTGGAAGTAAAATGGCAATGGGCCAGATGTAAGAGCCAAGAGAGGGGTCAGAAATGAGTCTAAGATTTCTGGTCTATGTAAAGATTTGCTCTGGTTGATTGAAAGAGGGGTTAGTTTGAGAGGTGTCAGAGTGGAAGAGTAATGAATGTGATTTGGGGACCTAGTTTCTTTCAGAATAGGCCAGGTTTTGTGGACATAAAAACAATCCCAAACCCAAACTTTCCGTGGTTTGACACAACAAAGATATATTCTCATTTGTTTTCTTTCCAACATGCCTGTCATGGTCACCCAGGAATTGCTTCTATAATTACTATGGCAGAGGAGCGGGATAAGACAAATTGTGTGCTGGCTTTTAAAAGTTACTCCACAAGTGACACATGTCACTTAAAGGCTTATCTTTCATTAGCCAAAGCAAGACACACAGCTGCAACTAACTTCAAAGAGAGCAGGGACGTGCCCTTCCCCTGTGTGCGTGGAGGAAGGGGAAGCTGAGTGTTTTCGCACAGCTCTGGTGACTACACACACGTGTTGAATTTGCAATATCCAGCAGACAGTTAGAAAGGATAGGCCAGACAGTTTAGAAGAAGTCAGACAGTTGTTAAGATAGGCATAGAAATAACAGCCAAAGCCATGGGAACGAAAGTGATCGTGTAGGAAAAACAAAACAAAACAAAACAAAAAACGTCGACTATTTCTAAATTCATACTACGAGGTGGTAGGTATGCGACACGCTTCTATCCTCAACATCTTATTTGTAACAAACAGGCGGTAAATGATTACTTCTTATTACTCCATCATGTTCTTTCCCTACTTTAGTTAATTTCTTCCTCAAAGTCAGGGTAGATGATGGTTGTAGAAACCTTGCAAACAATTCTGCAGACTCTCTGAAATTTCTTCCTTGAATTTTTATTTCCTGTAGTTCAAAGGAAGCTGAAATATGTCACTGGGTTCGTATTTTTCTCAGGTCTAATGCACCTGGAGAAGCTGATGTCTTAAATAAAGTGTAGGTATAAGGCAGCGTGGTACAGTAAGGTGGGGGCTGGACCAAGAAGCAGAGAAATGAGCTGGGCTTTGCCACTGACCAGCTATGTGAGCTCAAAGACCCACTACCTCCATGTGCAAGAGGCTGAGGGGCCCCGAGGGGAAGTGATAAGTACCACCCAGGAGAGGTGGGGCAGGCGGTACAGAGGGTCCAGGCATACAGTTTGAGGTCTCTGGGACGTTTAAATAAAGTGAACCTAAATTCACCAAACCTAGAAGCTTCTTCTGACTCATTTCAGTCACCTTGAAGCTCTCTCACTTGGATTTGGGGCCACATCCTCAATGTCTGGGACACTGGGCCATGGGGAGGAGGGACATTGAAGCATGTAGGAATCCAGGCAGCAGCAGGAGCAAAATGGGCCCCAAATGCAGGAAGGCCTTCTAACTGTGGAATACAAGTGAGAGGGAGGTGTACTTTGGATCTTTCCTTGTTGGTGAGCTGGCTTTCCTTCCCCAATCCCATCTGTCAACATGGCCCCTGAGAAGGAGACAGATAGGATTTAGACAGAAGAAGGAAACCTGGCATGTTGGGCCATAATGGGTTGTGGGAAGGATGAAGGAATCAGAGGTAGAAGGAAGTCAGGTGCCAAGATCCTTACCTCTTCCCAGGCTCCTGAGGCAGAACCTTGGGTGGGTACAGAAGGGTGCTCGAGAAACATCCAGACAGGAGACGCCCCTGCATTCTGCCCAGAGCCACATCCCACTTCGCAGGTGCATGGCAGCTTTGGTGGAGGGGAGTGGCTAGATGGATGCGCCTGATGTTTGGCAAGCAGGAGCATGGGCATGGATGGGCATGGACTCTTGAGAGGGCTGGTGTGCAGCAAAGGCCTGGGGTTCAGGCCAAGAAGCTGCAGGGCAGGTGAGCTTTGTAACTGGACACAAAGGACCAGTCTCTGTGGATAGCAGCCCAATGTCCCCATAGGTCAGGCAGGATTTGTCATAGCTCAGAGGATGCACTGCAGGGACCTCAGCCTGTGACAGAGATGGAGGGCAGCATGCGGATCTGAGGCACCCTCCCCATCAAGATACAATCCCAACCCACCAGTCTCTCCCCTCACCCACCCAGCCAAACCCAAGCTATGAAGGAGACTGGATCTTTCGCAGAAAGGGTGTAAATCAGAGGAGACTGAAAGACACAGTGAGGAGGGGATTTGTGAGGAGGGTTAGAGTGGTGACTGAAAAATTTAAAAAGGCTACACATCTGGGCTGTGGTGAGAGCACATCTACGACCCCATTTCATGAAACTGGAGAGTCAGGAAGAGCCTGATTGCACAGGGCCAGGAGAGCCGGTGAGAAGAGTTCGGATTTAATTTAGTTGGCAATAGGGAGCCTTCGAATGTTTTACGAGCAGAAAAGTAGCATGAGCAGAGCAGTGCTTTAAAAAGATTAATTTGGATTGTATGACAGTTTGGTTGACAGAAGTACAATCAGCTCAGCAGTAAAAGAGTTTTTTTTTTTTTTTAAAGACAAAATTGGTTTATTATAAAGTTTGTATCATTTTTGAGCTGTCTTACATTTTAACCAAATTATTTTCATAAAAATGATATATGATTTTGTTTTCAATATTCTTTACAGAGTTAACAAATAGAGCCCTTAGATCTTATATATATATATATATATATATATATATATATATATAATTTTTAACTCCATACTTAGAGGAAAGACTTATTTGTGTAGCAGAAATATTTGATTTCCCAGGAATGACTGTCCCTTTGTGTCAATTCCTACTTGGTTTCTGCAGTATTTGAGAGGTGCCTTTGACTTTCTTCTTCAACTGAGGAATATCCAGAGTACTGAAAAATAGAGAATAGATGCCAGGAGTTGTAATCCTTTGTTACAGAGTAATTGATATAACTATTTTCCCATGTTTTTTAGAAAGATCCCTTCTTTCTTTTGTCATAAATCACGGACACAAAGACACCTTAGGGAGTCTCTGCTCTTGCCTTCCAGGTTGGATTGGACCCGAGCCTTTAAACTGGCAAACAGAATTAATGTTTACTATGTTAACAACTAATGTTGCTCTTACTATGGGCCAAGACTCTTCTAAGCTTTCTACATACATTAATTTACTTAATCTTCACAGTGACCAATCTGGTGGATTCTATATCATTACACCCGTTTGACAGAAGAGGGGATCGGAGAGAAACTGAGTTCTTTGTCTCTGTGTTTATGCAGCTAGCAAGTGGCACAGAGAGCCAGGATATCTTGGGGAGCAGGATGGGCTGTGATTGTTGTGGGTTAGGGGAGGTACGCCAAGATGTTTGAAAAGACTCGTTGTGGCCTAAATGTCTTCTCCTGATGTCTTTGAAAACTTTTTTTTTTTTGGAAAGAACCAAGAAGAAAATGTGTTGGTCTCTAAGATAGAGAAGCAGAGTCCCTTGAGTCTGCAGGTGATGCTCTCTAACAGTTGCTTCTCCTGCAGTAAACTCAGTACTAGCAGAAATGGTGCTAGAGGACGGTTTTCTCTTTCCCCAGGTGGCAGAGGAAGGTTTACCCGTTCTAACAGCATTTTGGAGCTCAGAGCTGCTGACCCAGAGCGGGGCAAAGGGATTTATAGGAGCAGAATACTTCAGCTCATTCATCTTCTCAGGAAGGTGCTAGTGGGAGAGCAGATGCCCCCCCCCACCACCATTGTCCCCTCTACCCCCTCTTTTGCCCAGAGGTCATAGGGGAAGTGGAAGGCATTTGATGAGTTCTTCTGAAGGATAATAGGATTTAAAAGTTCAGAATCACTGTTTTGCATACATCCGAATTAAACAGCATAGCTGGCGTTATTATGATAAAATGTTACTAGAGACATGCAGTTGAGGACTTTTTTTGAAATTGTAAATATAATTATGTGTCTTGGTGGAAGATTGTCACATTGAGGATGCTCTTTTGATTTGTGATTGGCTTCAAAACAGGATCCAATGGTGTAATTCATTCTCTCCACCAGACTGCTAAAAAGCAGGGGTCTTGTGTGGTTTTCTCTGCTTTATCCCCAGTGCCTGGCATATACTGATACATAAAGGATGTTCAGCAAATATTTGTTGCATAAATGAATGAATAAATGATCTGAACATGAGTTACTCCTTTAAAAAACCACAGAAGTCTTACATCCCTCCTGCCCTCCATCTATCCATCTTTTTGACCTGGTAAAAAAATAACATTGAGTATCAAACTTCTGGAGGAGTGAGGACTAAGAAGTGACTTTTGAAACCACACATGAAAAGATCAAGCTAGGGGCGCCTTGGTGACTCATTCGGTTTGAGTGTCCTTCTTCGGCTCAGGTCATGATCTCGCGGTCTGTGAGTTCGAGCCCTGCGTCAGGCTCTGTGCTGACAGCTCAGAGCCTGGAGCCTGCTTTGGATTCTGTGCCTCCCTCTCTCTCTGCCCCTCCCCCACTCATGCTCTGTCTCTCTCTCTCTCTCTCTCTCTGTCAAAAAGAAATAAACATTTAAAAAAATTAAAAAAAAAAAGATCAAGCTAGTCAAAATTGTAAATGTCATTAAATTGATTGTTAAAAAAAAAAAAAAAACCACGATAAAACCCCCAACAACTGCAACCACCTGAGAAAAATTCTGTGCAGGGAGAAATGACAAGAAGTTGCCATCTGTGTTTTGTAAGATGGTTTAAATCAGAAAAGAAAACACTAAGACATGGAGGAAATGTACTCCAAAAAGATAGCCACATTTTCTGTCTTGATTATTTTCCCATTTTCCCATTTGCTCTGTAATATGGTTGTCTCGTGTCTGTTATTTGGAATATAAGTGTCTAAAAATGAAGCACAGGCTGACCTGATTTCTACGGATGCCCTTCCCCAGGGGGAGCAGCTCTGGATCTGAAAGCCTGCCCTCCCAAGCCGTTCCGCTGGATCCTTGATATGACCTGGCTGAATCTTGTGGAGCTGAGCAAACTTCCACAGTTTGCAGAGATTATGAACCAGGTAACAGAGGGCTGGATGAAACTGCACATCTGTAAACCCAAACGTACCCGGGGCCATTTTAATTGGGGCCTCCTGGCGACAATTCCTTCACCCAAGGGGCTATCTGCAGTAGTGTAGCATTAAAGCACCGAGCTCTCTGGGGCAGATTTTGGAGGGGGAATATCAGAGGGAGCCTTGTCACAGGGGAAGGTGACTGCCTTTTCTTCCTGTGTGAGTGCATGGGTCATTCATAAGCCTGCTTAACTCAAGTTGTTACAATCCAAACAGGTGGGTGGTCCCTTTACTGTAGACTGTTGATGTTTTTACATTTTTACTGCTGCTTCTAATTAAATAAATTGTACACATTTGAATTTGTGCCGCATTAAGAGGTATGGAACCTTTTTAAAAAAATCATCATTTTCACGGTGAAAATATAAAATGGTGAAGGAAATGGTGAATATGCTGAACATGTCCTGATTCACCTGTTGCTTTTCTTTTCTTTTCTTTTCTTTAAAAAAATTTTTTTAACATTATTCATTTTTGAGAGACAGAGACCGAGTACAAATGGAAAGGGGCAGAGAGAGAGGGAGACACAGCATCCAAAGCAGGCTCCAGGCTCCAAGCTGTCAGCACAGAGCCCTATGCGGGGCTCAAACCCATGAGCTGTGAGATCATGACCTGAGCCGAATTTGGATGCTTAACCGACTGAGCCACCCAGGCGCTCCTCACCTGTTGCTTTTCTTATTTGAAAATGTAAATTTGTTACTGTGGATTAGTTGTCGAATTCAGTTCTCACTGGAGAATAGCTGTGCAACTCAGCATAAAGATCAGTGTTTATTTCTGGGGTCTGCTGGTCATAACCACCTATCACTGATGCAAGGCCTGTGGTTTCCCAATGGCAGATGCTGAAAATCATCTTTTTGGGGGGGTGCTGGTGATAGACAACTGGGGTGATGGGTGGAATGCAAGTTGGTAGAGACCTCATGCTGTCATCACTGATTCCCTCCCCTCTACACACACACACACACACACACACACACACACACACACACCCTGCCCAGCATACACTAGGTGTGTCTGTTTAGTGGCATTTCTGAAACATTACGGAGACTCTTTACCTATTCAGCCATGGCTGGGTCCACCTGTGATGGACAGTAAATTTTGTTTTGTAGTACAGCCACACATGAGTCCCTCAAGACCAAACAAGTAACTCTGGGAAAAAATATGGTTGTCTGAGCCTGGCTGGGACTGGTAAGGGAGACCTCAGAGCACCACTGGAGTAATAAATAAATAAATAAACAAACAAATAAATAAATAAATAAATAAATAAATATCATTCACCAATTGCGCCCTCTGCTGGCGGGTTAGGTTGACACTGGGATAGGCATTATCGTTTGCCTCTGTTGATTAGAATTTAATTACCTGTAGTGAGGAATCTGGCAGCTACTACTGCTTAACTATAGAATAAGTATTTTGCAACAGCTATAACCATGCAAGGGAAGTATTATTGGCCCCGCTTTATAGATGAGAAAACAGATTCAAAGGGGTTAAGTACTTGCCCAAGGCCTCATAGCCACTGATGGCAAAGCTGTCCTCTGACCTCATGCTCTTTCCCTGACATCATGAGTTATTTCTCTCCCAGTCACCATTGGACGGGCCAGAAATGAGGGAGCGGTCATCCTAAGGAAAGTTGCAGAAGTTCACGGGAGCTGACATCAGGTGGCCATCGATTTGGGGTCTCTGTGGCAAGAAAGGGCAGAAGGAGAAGGGGGTCAGTCTCCCAGCTGAATGGATGTCAGGAAGAGAAATAGAAGTATCTCAAACAGCATCTGCCCTGCTTTGGCATCTCAGGCTGAACTGTTTAGCACCTGGAAGTGGTTTTGTTGATAGAGCCAGGAAAAGGGATGGGAAGTGGAGGTGAGCAACCAGGGGCTGGAAGATATCCCATTGCCCATCACAGACGGGGCTTGCTTGGAAGCTCCATCGGGTAGAGTCAAAATTAGCAGATGCCCTCCAGGTCAGTAAGCTGGGAATGGACACCCTCTCTCTTCTCGCGCCTCCTCTCTAGCCGCAGTTGTGGAGGTGGGCCGCAGGGGGCGATGCGGGCAGCACCCAGGTACCCGTGCAGTAGGGTGGGGCACCAAGTGTGCAGGGCAGATTCTTTGAGAGCAGTCAACTCCAAGGAGCCACTGCAACAATCTTCAGGAGAAAGGTGGCAGTTGTGAAACAGTTCAGAAATCCTCCCTCTCCTTTTAGTGCCCCAGGGACAAAGTTGGAATGACTGCATTACAGAGCAATTCTTCTGCTGTTCATTTTCGTGCTGCCTGGATCCTATATGATGAATTATTTGCGGGACGTGGACTTTGGGCGGTTATTTAACCCCTCTGTGCCTCAGTGAGAAATGAGGGTAATACAGGTAACAGTCCGATCCTTGATCTGGCACACAGTATCTGCTCTGTTAACTTTTGCCGTTTGCTTGCAGCTCTTACCATGGCTTTTAAAACATGCTTACAAACATGGTCAAAATAATCCCGGCTGCTTGTTGCAGCGTCGGGCTCATCAATCTACAGTTTTTGTAATTAGTTTTGTCAGTACGTGGGCTTCAAGGAGTGCCTTTTAATGCCTCTGAAAATTGGCGTTTCTTGCCATGCCTCTGAAAGAACACGTATTTCAGACCAGCTCTTGGAGAGACCTCTGTTCTTAGGCTTGGGGTCTCAAGGCAGGGAATCACTAAGAAAATAAAAGTTTAGAGTCTGTCATCTATCACTATTTTAAGTAGAGGTCAACATTTAGAGGTTTGGTTATCAGAATGGTCTATATCAGTGGTCCTCAAGCAAGGGCAGCTTTGTGCCACCCCCCAGCCCTGCCACCGCCCCGAGAGCATTTGACAATGTCTGGAGACATTTTTCATTGTCATGAGTTGGGGATGAGGCTGAGTAGAGGCCAGAGATGCTGCTAACATTCTGACAGTGTGCAGGACTACTTCCCCAAAATAATCTGGCCCCAAATGTCATTAATATTGGCAGGTTGTTTGTAAACCCCCTTCTATGTTTTTTTCCTCCCTGATCATTTAGTGTAATTGATACACTGTCTTAATTTCCGTGAAAAATGTAGAAAAGCAATGGAAAAACTGAAGGGAATAGGAATATCCACATTATTTGAGTCACTGATTCTGAAAAAAAAAGCAAACTGTGTAGTTATGCTTGAAAAATTATTTGCCTGTGAAGAGTGACCCTCTAAAGTTACTCAGTATCCTCTCCAACATGTTCCAATTGTATATATTTCTATGGCTTGCTAATTGGCTTATTTATTTTAGATATCTCGTAATGAGAAGGGATGGAAAAGCTGGTTTGATAAAGATGCTCCAGAGGAGGAAATTATCCCTGATGGATATAACGATTCACTGGATACCTGCCGCAAACTTTTACTTATCAGGTGAGCATATGTATTATCAGACTTAGAAGGATCACTCATCAGATTGTCAAATTACAGATGTTACCTCAGTGAGTTTACCTCACTATGTCCCAGTGGGTATTCTAAGAAACGTGTGTGCTTCCATATTGCGGTTTGGGATGGCAATTCCTTAGTTCCTTGACAAGCAAATAAAATGGTGGTGGTGGCAGGGAATGTATTAGTGATAGTGCTTTTAGCAGAAGACACACGAAAAATATGCCTTTATTATTCCCTCTGTTCATCATTTGCCACTGAGTGAATCACTTATTGTTGAATTTACTTGATAAAAAAAATAATCCTCACAAAGTTACAAGGCAATTAGTCTACAAGCTGAAATTAAATTTTATTTGAGGAAAAAAACAGGAATTGCCTATTGAAATGTATAAATGTTGTTTTGGCTATTAAAATATGATGTGAAGGAAGAAAATTCTTTCCTTTTCTTTTCTTTTCTTTTCTTTTCTTTTCTTTTCTTTTCTCCTTTCTTTTCCTTCTTTTCATGTTTTCTAAATATCCAGTAGCTCAAAGAAGGCTACTGGAGAAGGCTATGGGAAGGTGTGTGTGTGTGTGTGTGTGATTTGTGAGCAAAGCAGGAGGGTGGAGGTGGGGAGATGGGGCCACCAAAAGAGCAACAAAAAGATGTAGGATTATTTTGGAGTGGTTTTTGTTTTCCCTAATAATATACACCTGAGCTTGAATTTCTTAGAAAAACTTGTTTCCTGGATATTGTCCACTCTTTGGGAGTAATCAGAATGGTCAGCAATGGTGACCTTGTGATGTACGGAGTATGAAAGGATTACTTTTTTTTTAAGTTTATTTATTTTGAGAAAGAGAGAGAGAGCACAAGCAGGGGAGGGGCAGAGAGAGAGAGAGAGAGAGAGAAAATCCCAAGCAGGCTCCATGCTGTCAGCGTGGAGCCTGATGTGGGGCTTGAACACACAAACCATGAGATCATGACCTGAGCCGAAGTCAAGAGGCAGATGCTTAACTGACTGGGCCACCCAGGCGCCCCAGGGCTACTTGTTTTTATAGGAATAGATGTGTCTATCTTTTGTCCATCCTTTAAAAAGTGAATCTGTGCCAAACGAGTAGTGTAGTCTACTAGTAAATAAGAATCTGTAGATCTTGTCTGTGATCCAAAATATCAAATAGTAAATGATATTTATTTGATGTGTTGCTGTGTATAGAACCTACTACAGTGCAGGCGACACAGATGGTATTAAATAAGTGCTTGCTGATCAACCTACTTTTGACAACTTTGACACTTTAATTCTCCCCTTGAACACTGCAGAGCTTCACAGTGTGCAGCGGGTTGGCCCCTATTGTCTTCGGGAGCTGGTGGAGGACGCCTCCCCTTGTGTCCCTGCTGAGCCCCAGCACCTAAAGTGGGGCCTGATGCAGTGGGCACAAGATAAATATTTATCAAAGAATAGATGTGGTCCTGCCTATGAGTTTGAATAAGGAATTGCTTACCTGAAGCAGATAGCCTCAGTGACTAGGGGTAATCATTGATGTGATTAAAAAAAAACATAACTAATTAGGGGCACCCGGGTGGCTCAGTCAGTTGAGCATCAGACTTCTGCTTGGGTTATGATCTCATCGTTCATGAGTTCGAGCCCTGTATTGGGCTTCCTGCTGTCAGTGCAGAGCCTGCTTCGGATCCCCTGTCCTCTCTCTCTGCCCCACCTCTGCTCACGCACGTGCTCTCTCTTGCAAAAATAAACATTAAAAATAAGCTTTAAAAAAACTAATTAAAGCTTCAGTGTAGTTGGTGTGTCTTCTGAAAATGAGACATTTGGATCAACTGGCTTCTAAGGGCTCTTGTGGGTTAACAACAGACCATGTTTTTACCCACTCTGGCCTATTTTTTCCCAGTGCCTCGCACCAAAACCACATGATTAAATTTGTATTCATTCAGGGATGGGAAACCTTCCCATCCTTCTTACACAGAGCTGCAGATCTGGGAATTAGCTTTTTGTACTTTGCTAATTAATTACGTTTTTTAGATGCTTAGAATGAAATAGAATAAAAATGAACACACTGAATTTTTTCCTATAACTTGTATTCATTTCTAGGTCTTGGTGCCCAGACCGTACTGTTTTTCAAGCAAGAAAGTACATTGCAGATTCTTTGGAGGACAAGTACACAGAACCAGTTATCCTAAACCTGGAGAAAACTTGGGAAGAAAGTGATACCAGGACACCTTTGATATGTTTCCTGTCCATGGGATCTGATCCCACAATTCAAATTGATGCATTGGCCAAGAAACTGAAGCTGGGTATGATCAGACATTTATTCAGTTTAGTAAAACCTCTGTATTTTTGCCCCAAACATTGCCTCTTATAATTTCATAACTGATTCTTATTATATATATTGTATATAATAATTATATAATTATATCTGATTATATATAATATTATACATAATATTATATATATTATAATTATATAATTATTATAATATAATATAATAATGATATAAATATATATATATTTTTTTTTAAGTAGTAAGCAGATGTCCATACTACATGGATAGCAGACTGGGAAGAATGAACATACAGAGGCATTGCTCTGTCTGTATAAAATTACAAAAAAATCTATTTTGTCAGAAATTGAAAAACTATAACCATTATTATAACACACAGTAATTTGGGATTTATTCATTCATAATTTCTTTCAGTAACTCTTTAGTACAGGCAGCAAGCTAGATTCAAGGAAGTGCGGAGACGAACACAAAATAGCTGGGAAAGACAGATACATAAACACGTAATTGTGGCAACTGCTGGAACTGAGGCATAGACATGCCTGATTACAAGATCCAGAGCTACTCGGGCTGCAAGGGGTAAAGGGAAAGCATCACAGTGATGGTATTTTGAGTAGGATCTAAAAAGGAGTTGAGATTTTGGTAGGTGGGATGGTGGGAGATACAAGGTAAGTTGCTCCAGGGGGAGGAGGCAGGGCGAGGAATTAGAAACACATAAGTGGTGAGAGCAGTGACTGAGTCAGCACGACCAAAGGACAAGGACCTGTATGGGAAGATCGAGCCATCTTTTTATAGAATGGCTGTTTATAGGAGGGCTGTTCATCTGCTCCTCATGGTCTGGAAATCTGAATATTGTTGGCATTGCCATTTGGTATCTTTCAGGTTCAGATCTCTGGAACTATCCCTTATTGGGTTAATTCATTTATGTCTTTATAAAGATTATAAAGGTGATTGATTATGCATAACCAAACCTACCCTGTGAAACAAAACTTACATTGAGTTTATTAGTAAGTTAACATAATGTGATATAAAATCAATTTAGTCTTCTCCAAGTATTCACCATGCCATGTGTCCTGCACTAAAAAATTACTGCAAACCATTAGCTTAGGGTATCATGGTCTATGGTCACTGTCTGTTTTCTCATCTTGACTTTTCTCTGTTCACTGTCACCATACCCTTCTATACTCTATATTGATCCATGTTTTAATGGTCACTTTCTTCAGTCTGAACACTGATACTCAATGTATAGAGCTTCCAGTTGTAATGGCAACTATTCATGGTTAAGTTTTACTAACCACCTTAAAGGTAGGCTGTGTTGCTCTGGTATTTATGGCAACATGCCAGTCACCTTCATTGGTCTAAGAGTGATGCCTCTCTTGCAGCCTTGTAGCTTCCAAATCTCCCTCAGATGTATTCCTTTATGGATATTTGTCCACTTGCTTTGTCCAGATGCCCCACTTCTCTCTGCTTATGGGTTCCTTTTTCCTGTCTTACTATGCACCAATCTCTATGTGGCAGAACTCTTGGTCTCTGGTGGCTTGTGAGCGTCACTGCTTATATGTTTAGCAAGTTCAGCATTCCCAGGGAAATTCCCCTTACTCTCTTGGCCCCAGATCCAAATAGCAAGGGAAGAAATTCATTGGTTTTGCTTTGGTCACATGTTCCTTTCTGAGCCAATCAATGAATATTGCTCTGGTGATGGATTCATAGCAGGAAGCACATGTGTGGGGCTAGAGTGGGGGCATTTCTTAGAAGGGTATATTGTTCCTAGAAGATGGGCATGTTTCCAACTAGAATTACCATTTCAAATGACCTCAAAATAATGCTATTGTCTAGGACCAGAGTTTAAAACAGAAATAAGAAATTCAGGGTTTCTTTTGGGAGAAATTATAACCATGACATTAAATAAATTTAGCTGGAACTGTGCTATCACCTTTACTGTTATTACATGTTATCATACTACTTTGCTTGGCAATTTGGTGATTTCCATTTCTTGCCATGACTTAAGTTTTTCCAACAATTGTTCAAGCTTCTGTTGGTTGCTTTGTTAGGATACTAAAACAGAGTACATTTGATTTTGATCCTGAAACTCCATGTAAAGAGCTTCCAGTTGTAATGGCAACTATTCATGGTTAAGTCTTACTAACCACCTTAAAGGTAGGCTGTGTTGCTCTGGTATTTATGGCAACTTGCCAGTCTTCCAGGACCCAATGAATTTTATACAGAACTCTTTGATGAATAAGTTTTGAGAATGCTAGAAAGTCTCATGCTATTTACTATCCCCCAAATATCTGTGAAAATGAAACTATAATATGTACAGAATAACATAGTAATCTAGTCTCAACTAGAAAGATTTTATTTGGATAACTGGATACTAGACAATCATAGGATACTCAAGGTTAATAGGCTGGAAATCTTGAAATCCAACTACCTTATTTTACAGCTGGGGAAACTAAAGTCTAGAGATTGGGCCATACAGCTGGCTGGGGACAGACTTAATTCAGGCCTTATCTCAGGGCTTCCAAATCCCACTGCAGTGGTCTGTTCTTGCATTCCTTTTCACTGCCTTCATTGGATGAATTAACCAGTTACCAGACAGCAACTTGAGGAATGGGACCAAGTCAAATACATTTTTGTAAGAAAAGAAAAGCTTCTCACTATGGATATTGTCAGGTGCCTGTCAGACTCTGCAGTGAGAGATTTGGAGCAGACAAATTCTGCCCAGAAACACTGTGTGCCTGGGCAAGAGAGAAGACAGGTGTCTTTAGCATGAGAACCCTACCAGAGCCTGGATAACGGAGATAGAGGATGGATGGGTTTGAAGATAGAATCCAAACACAAGTGAAAGAGAACAAGTAAAATACAAACCCACAAATATACTGAAGTAGGAATGAGGAAATGGGCATAAAAACACATACAGATGAAAAATTTTAAATAACAAGAGAACAGTGCATAGTTATGGTAATAAACTTAAAAATATCATTAAAATGGACAAGTCTGTAGAAAAATACAAATGTATAAAAAAAAAAAAACCTGAATACACCAATAATCAAGATGAGAAAAATGAGAAGTTTTTACGTTATGACCTGAGCAGAGGCTCTGGGCTTGGTTTTTTTTTTAGTAAATCTTCTAAAACTTTCACATACTTTATTCCATTTCAGAACATAGGAAAAGATGATACATTTTCCTCTTTATTTTGAGGGAATAGCATTATCCTGATAGAAACAGACAAGATAGTAATAACTTCATAAAAGAAAGAAAACTACAGATTGACGCTGCCTGTCAATGTAAATGTAAAGATCTTAACTGAAATGCAAACAAAAAGAATTCATTGTGTCATTAAAAAAAATACCATACAAAACAATAGTAATTTTCCTTGACCAAGAAGGAATGCATGGGTGGGTATAAGAAAGATATAGTATTAAGAAATCTCATCACAACAAAAAGTAAAAGACTCTTCCTTAGGCTATCATATTATTACCTTGATAGGTGCTGAAAAGCCTTTTTATAAAAATTAAACATTTGTATTTGACTTTTAAGAAGTTGATACATATAACATTTTATTAATATGATAATGAATATGAACTTCAGACATCAACATTTTACTTACTGGTAAACAACCAGACACATTAAAGTCAAGAATAAGATAAAGATGTCTGCTGTCACCACTATTATTGAGCACTATTGTGGAAGATATAGCTAATGTATTGTAAGAATCATAAATAAAAGATATAACTATTGGAAAGGAGGGACAAAAATCATCATTACTCTCAGGCAGTGTAATTGTCTAACTAGAAACACAAATGAATCAACTGAAGAACTATTAGATTTAACGGGACAGTTTGGTAAGGTGGCTGATCACAAAATAAATATATTAAAGAAATCAATGGAACAATCTTGTAAAATAAAATGTAAAAAATCCCATTCACTATAGCAATAAAAATAAAACTGGGGAATAATTTTTAAAATACCTATTAGAAGAAAACTATAAAACTTTCTTAGAGGCATAACAGTAGGATAGAACAAATGGAGAGTCAAACCACATTCCCAGTGTAAAGATTCAATATTGTAAAGATGTCAATAGTTGCTAAATTTATCTATAAATTGAAGGAAAGTCTAATTGAAATTCCAACTATATTTCTTGTTCTAATTGGATAGTAGAAAGATCTTAGATCATCTAGAACAATAAATGGACAAGAATAACCAAGAAAACTTTGAAAAGGAAAAAGAATAATGGGGAATGAGCACCACTAGATTTGTAAACCTTTATCAAATGGCAATAATTTAATCAGTGTGGAAGCTCAGAGTAGATAAACAGATCAATGAAGCAAAATGAAAGGCCTCAGATTAGGCTCTAGTATCTATAATAAGCTTAGTCTATGATAAGATTCACATTTCAAATCAATGGAGGAAAAATGGATTAGTCAATAGACATTGTTGGGCTAGCCGGTTAACTTTAGAAAAAAGTAACAATTTTATTTTACTTTAAACTCCAAAGTAAATTCTAGGTTAATTAAGCTATAGAAGAAAAAAAAAAAAGAATGTATTGGTACTATTGGGGTAGCTAAGATTTTCTTAATCATAATATCAGAATCTAAAACCAAGGCGGATAGTTTGGAGTGATGAAGTTTTGAAACTTCTGTATGTCAAAGCGCCATTAGCACAAATGAGGATGGACATGTGGGCTGGGAACGACAACCTTCCATTTTAGCTGGAGACACTGGCAGTCCTTTTTAATGTATATATCACAAATCTTTAAAATATTTGTGCTTTGTCTTGACAATTCTATATGTATGAATTCCTTCCAAGAACATATCAAGAGATACATATCAAAATTTATATACAAAGATGTTTAATCTAGTGCTATTTATAATATGGAAAAATTGAAAATGTCTCACATATAGAAAAGGCTAGAGGTTGAATGAACAAGAATGCATCAACATGATGGAATATTACGGTACCATTAAAAAATTTTCCAGTAATATTTAATGACAGTAAAATACTCACAATATGCTG